ACACTCTTGCCTCTTCCATGACTCCTTCTCGCCTGCAGTCTTAATCTCCTCCCCCCTGGGATCCCCACCTTCTGCGCCTCACCTGACAGGGACCTATTTGTTTGTTACTTTGCTCCCAGGTGGGGGCTGGCCCTCTCTAGGATGACAGGGGCAGTGAACAAAGTGTGAGGGCTCGGAGCTTGCGCGGCTTTGCAGTGTAACTAGTTCAGCCCAGATGGCTTTAAGGGCATGGTTGCTTCTTGGGAACACAGCAGCCAGAGGAGGCACCTGTCCCAGTCTCTGGGGTCATTTGACCTTATTCGCCCACCCTTAAGTAGAGATTATCCTGTATTTGATTCACAAAACAACATAGAATAACAGGCATTCAGTTTACTTTTGCAAATCAAATAGTTCCCACAGGGTTGTTTGTTTTTTGTTCATCTTCCGATAGCAGTCACTCCTCAGAGATGGATATAATGAGGCTTTTTTTTTTAAACTACAGTGTCGCAATAATACTGTGTTGCTTCTGGATCAGAGTAATATGTGACTGGCATGAGAACAGTATCTTAATAGACACATATTTTCCTAGATGGATACTTTCCTCTGTTATTTTGCTTCAGTGTGTTCTATTTAAACTTAAAGGTGCATTTTCAATAAGTGAAGGGAGAAATAAATACTTCTTTCTACGTGGTCGCTTAATATTTTGAAGTATTCACTCAGCCATTTCTCTTTTAGACAAAGTTTTAAGATGCTAGTCATTCATTTATGCTAGAATTGGTTACTAAGTTTACAGTAGAAGTAAACTTCATGCCATGGAATTAGCACTAAAATTTCAGTGTTGATAGTTTTCAGAGTTCTAGTTAATGTTCTTGAACATGTGTTTATTCTTACTCTGGGAAAAAAACACCACTTTTTTTTCTTGAGAAACTAGAGGTTACCTTTTTGGAAACATTTAACTGCTTTTTACCACTTTTTGAGTGATCATCAGTCCAATAGTTGTTGCAGTTCTAGTAAATTTTTTTATAAATGGTAACCATACATCTAAAAATGTGGCAGTCACTTACTCAGCTGTACGACTGCATTGCTAGTTATGACTTTTTAATATTGTCCCTTTGTAGAAGAATGAGAAACTACTCAGTCATTTTTAAAAGTTAGGGAATTTGATCAGAAACTTGAGAGAATGTGACATAAATTGAGCAGAATAAATTAATATAGCTGTAACTGTTTTCTTTGATGATCAAATTCTTAACTTAAAAACGGGGTTAATCATGAGACTGTTCCCAGTTTGTCTGGTGGTAGCTGCCAGTGTTGGTCCATAAAACTGAGAAACGTCCCCATCTAGAACAAATGCCAGGTACATGGTGGGTGCTCAGTAAATGTTTATTGAACAAATGTTAAAGAAGTCGCTTAGACTGACACGTTTTGACTTGGTAGGTGGTGCTTTGTGGGTAACTGTGATCTCGAAATAATCTCTTGGTTTTTAAACTCAGTTTTCTGATTCAGCAAAAAGGATTGTTACGCAGGGACATTTCAGTGTGAGGGAGAAGGGTGGGTTGGGTTTTAACCCTAGAATGTGACCTTGGGCAATTCACTTTTCCTCTCTATTCCTGTACATGAGCAGAGTGGGCTTCACCATACTCCATGAGTCTTTAAGGTCTTTCTCATTTAAATCTAAAATTTTCTGCTCCTAAGTATGTTGAGTTGCTTGGGGACAAAAGACAAAGGTATTCAGAGTACTATGAATGTTGTGCAGAATGTTCCTGTACACAGACTAGGGGGTAATTTATGATGCCTGTTTTTTGTTTGTTCGGTTTTTGGGTTGTTAAATTTTGTTTGTTTGTCCTCAACAGTCAATGACAACACAAACAGCAGAGTGGTCCTTTGGTCCTTCTTTGAAGCTCTTGTTCTAGTTGCCATGACATTGGGACAGATCTACTACCTGAAGAGATTTTTTGAAGTCCGGAGGGTTGTTTAAAAGCCTTTTCCTGATGATCCCGAGCACATGATTCACTGTTTACCAAACATCTTGGTCATAATAATGTCATTAGTTTCTATGTTTTTATTTTCTGAACTGTACATTCACAGCTTATGTTTCTTTACGATTAATAGATATTGGGGGAAAACACCTTTTTAGGGAAGTTACAGTGAGAATTTGACATTTGATTGGCATAATTTCATATTCGAGTTCCACCTCCGGTATACAGGTCCTTCCAGAACTCAAACACTGTAAGTGAGATATAGGTGTATAGTTCTTACTATACCTTCCTTTTGTTTTCATAATAAAATGCAGTTTGTTCAGGATAGTACTTACTGATAGTACTTTACTAAACTGATTGCATTTTTTGGATCCCTTATCCTGCAGTTCAAGTCATTAAAGATTCATTTTGTTGCGTCCTTATGAGAAACAACAGCCTGAATCTTGACATTTTTTTATCCAGCCCTATGGCACAGCTCTGTGACTTGAGAGTTTGCTACTAGGTTGGTACTTTTATACTTTGTCTATCTTGTTTTTGCTTTAAAGATAAGACTTTAATCCAACAACCTTTTCCCCCCTAAAGTTTTAGAACCTTAGAACTCAATCACCTCCACTTAAAATTATTGACACAAACAGCTAATAACCATTTTTTGGTTTCTGCCTAACCTTGTAAGAAGAAGCTCTATTAAAGCCAATTCTCTGAGTGTTTCAGTGAATGGTAGCTTTTTCTTTCTATGCTGGCACATCTGCTTTCTCCACTCTTGGCATGTGGGAGGTATGCGTTCACGTAATTGGAAAAATCTGGATTTCTGATGCCAAAGGGTTGAAGCCTCTTGGGTTTATTTGCAGTGATATACAGCCACTATTTTATTTTTGATCAGTGGCATTTTGGCCACTGTAATTAGGGTACTGAACATCACTGTCAGTACTAGGGTTTTGTTTTTGTTTTTCTTGGGTCTTTCTTTTTTGGCACATGTGAATTTTGTTTTGTATAAAACAAAATGACTTTCTCTTGGTCTCTGATGATGGGTTTGAAATTAAAGGAGCATCTGGTTTTGGTGTGGGGTTGATCCAGGATTATGTTGTGACTGATGTATATTAGTTACTTGTACATTTTTTTTGGATCTTTGCAAGGGGAAAACTACAAGTAACGAGTTTTATATAATTAATTTAAATTTGTTACAGGTTTTCATGTTCAGGATAAACAATTTTTCAACCTTGGGTGAAAATACTTGCAACAGTTTAAGGTGACTGTTTTACCTTAGGACAACTGTTGGCACGCCAATTTGTGTATGTGTGTGTGAAAACACTTCAAAATTGAATTAAAAGATGTAAATTTAAAATTGGTTGTGTATCTAATCTGCCCCAGGTTCAGTAAATAAACAATTCTTTTTAAAAACAGTCTTGGTAGTCTGTGTTTTATATATTAATGTTTAATTCACATTTGTTAAATATCACCTTTCTAATCATATTTGAAATGAGATGTGTTCAGTTTTCTCAGTAATGATGCCTGTTATAAATACCTGTTAGATTTTATGTCTGTAAACTAGAGGATAGTGAATAGGAACCAATTTTTAGGTTGTCCTGTGTTATTTCTCTGATGGGTCAGTGTTAACATCTTAAATACTTTTTTATTTGGAAAAAAAAAAGTTTGAGTTATTTTCACTCAACCACCTGGTTTATGGATGTGAGAAATAAGTTTAAAAAGGATGAAATGACTTGCCCAAGGCTCCCAGATGACGAGTGATTGATGGGACCAGAATCTAGATCTCTGCCTTTAGAAACGGTTCCTCTTCCTCTATTACACTAAGGACCTGCTAATAATAAAAGAAACTACCTAGTAATAAAAGAATAAAAGAATCTAGCTGGTAATAAAAGGATCTATCCAATGTAATGTGTAATGTCCTGGCACGTTGCTAAGTGCTTAATGGTCTGTGTCATTTACTCCTCAGAACTGCCAAACACACATTATATAATCCTTATTTTGGAAATAAGAGACAGGCTTAGAAACGGTTTCCAGAGAAGAAGGACCACCAGATGCAAATGCAGCTATGCTTTCTCTCGGTCTTTGCTTTTAGACCTGCCTGGAAGTCCTATTTTACAAAACAGTTGTCAAAGCCGTTTCGAGGTTGTGATGGTAACATTAAAGTAAAAATGTCTCAGGCTTTTCCTTTCCATTTCGTCTAGTTTGACATGACAGGAGTTTGCATGAGGGCCATTTCCGTTTTACTCACCCCCAAAATGTTTGGGTGACTGCTGTATGCTACCAGTTGTGGCCCCTGAGGTAAGGAAAATAGAGAAAAATCCCCAGGGTCGTGGGATTTACTTTTTAGTGGGGGAGATCAACCTAATAAATACATAAATTATATGGCTTACTAATAGTAAGTGCTATGGAGGAAAAATAAAGCAGGATGAGCGGTTATAGTGATTACGAACAGAAGGTGTCATCTGAAACGACATTTGAAAAGTCCTGACGGATGTCAGCGAGCAACTCAAGCTGAAAATACGGTCCCAGCACGTAATAGCTGGTCAGTAAAAGTTTGCTGAGTGAATGTGCACGTGGACAAATCAATCCAGTGGTGAGCACAGGAGTGAGAAGATACAGTGTTCGTGCTTAGGTTCTGACCCAGCGTCCTCGGAAGAAAGCCAAGGGTGACTGTACCAGGCAGTGGCTCCCCGTCGTCGGCCTGTTTTGCACGACTGTTAACCTGGGGCTCCCGGGCTGCGGTGCCTTTCTCTCCACTCTCCAGTCCCACTGTCCTTTAGCCGGGACGCGGTGTTGTGCTGCCACCTGCCTCCAACTGGCGGGGAACGTGAGAGAGTCTGGGCAAAATCTCTCCCGCCCAAATGCCTGCTCGGTGTGGAAGGACGCCCCGAGCCGAGGCGGCTGCGCGGGACCGATGGTGCTGCTCCGGCCTGGCTCCCGCCGGCCGCTTTCATCAGCCAGCGCTCGGCTTCCCACTCTCCCGCCGCGAGGGCGCCTTTCCCCGCCCTCCGGAACTTCGCAGCTGGAGTGTGCTGTTCCCCGTCGGCCCTGTTGGCGACCGGAAGCGGAAGTGCTTGCTGGCGGCGCCCGGGTGGTGGCTGCAGCGGCGGCGGAGCGCGCCATGGAGCACGTGACGGAGGGTTCCTGGGAGTCGCTGCCTGTGCCGCTGCACCCGCGGGTGCTGGGTGCGCTGCGGGAGCTGGGTTTCCCGTACATGACGCCGGTGCAGGTACCCGGCGCGGGCCGGGGGGAGGCGGGCCCTCCGTGCGCAGGGGGCAGGTGAGGAAACGGAGGCTCAGGGTGGGCCAGGCAGCCGCTTAACACGGCCGGTAGGTGTTAGAATTAGGACTCGCATCCTGGAGTTTTCTCCCAGGCTAGGACTTTCGCCACGTCTTCCTGCTGCCCAGGCTCGAGGGATGATTAGTGATCGGCAGGCAGAGGCGGCAGGCGGCGGCGCGCCTGTGCCAGGGTCGTCACAACACTGCCCACCCCCCGCCCTTGGGTGCTCGGGCATAAGTGCCCGGTACATATCCTGGCCCTGCCCACTCTAGCTGTGAGACCTCGGGCAAATGATTTAACCACTCTGTGTTCATTTCCTTTCTCTGTGAAATGACGACAGTAGTGTTACCCGACTCAGAGGGTTGTTGTGAGGTTACATAAAACAATGTTGGACACGTTATGGGCGCTCGATAAACATTATCTGTTGTCATCATTATTTTGGGGGCTAAGTGAAGCGTCCTGCCCTGATCTGTTCATTTATCCAAGTAATTTATTCTGGACATAAGTGTATCAGGTACTCTTTCCTAGGCTCTGGGGATTTTGCAGTGTTGGTTCCCACTCCTGGGCCTTGTTTTCTGAAGCAGCAGAGAGAGAAGGGAGTAAAGGAATGAGGTAATTTCGGCTGCTGCTGCTGAGCGTTATGGAGGAGACAGTGACGAGAAGATACAGGATAGGGAGTAAGACGGGGCGTCAGGGAAGGCCCCTCTGAGGCGGTGGCATTAAACTGATACCTGAATGACTGAGAAGGAGCCACTGTGGGGTTACTGGGGACAGGATGTTCCAGCAGAGAGAAATACCAGTGCAAATACTCTGGGGCTGGAAGTGATCTCGGAGGGACAGCAAGAAGGCCTTTGTAGCTGGAGCATCATGAGAAGTGTAAAAGACAAGCAACCTGGATGCTCGACTGCACAGGGTCTGTCTTGTAGGAGTTTGTACTTTCTTCCAAATGCAGTGGGAAGCCAGCTTCCAGGGGAAGCTGCAGGAAGGGAAGGGATGTGACCGCTGTGTAGAGGATGGACTTGCGAGGAGTCAAGAGAAGAAGCAAGGTCAGTTAGGCCATTGTCAAGTTAGAGGTGATGGTGGCTTGGAGTAGAGAAGAAGCAGTGGATACTGAGAAGTCAATTCCGAGATAGCTTGAGGGTTGCTGAGGGGCCAGGCATGGGGGCACGCAAGAGGAATGTAGAAGGATCCTGAGGTTTTTGTCCTTAGCGACTGAGTGGGTGGTGGCATCATTTAACAAGATGAGGAAGGCTGGGGTGGGGGTGGGGCAGAAGGGACAGGTTTCAAAGGGAAAATCAAGAGTCCCAGATGCCAGCCCAGCTCACTTCCGCTCCACGCCGGCTGTGTAGACACCACTGCTGTGTTACCTGTGAGCCAGCCCCTCTCAAAGGGTGCCTCTGCAGACTCTGCTGAGAGTCCACTTTATGGTGGGGTCCAGTGTGACCAAGGTCAGCACTGCATTCCTCAGGCTTGGGGCTTCATCTCTGGAGTCACGGCATCCTCTAACCAGGGCTTTGCCATCTCTCTCTTCAGTCTGCAACCATCCCTTTGTTCATGAAAAACAAAGACGTTGCCGCGGAAGCGGTGAGTACCTTGTGTAAATGCAGCCCATCCTCCTGTTTTCCCTCCAGAATGACCTGTGAGGAAAAGCAAACCAAAACTTTCCCCCTTTTCAGGTCACAGGTAGTGGCAAAACACTCGCTTTCGTCATCCCCATCCTGGAAATTCTCCTGAGGAGGGAAGAGAAGTTAAAAAAGAGTCAGGTGAGGAGAGCTGAGTCATCAGAGAGTTCACTGGTCAAAAGCTTGAAAAAAATAAGAAAATAAAATACAGCCTGTCCCCATTACTTGCGGAGTCTGTATTTATGAATTTGCCTCCTCCTTAAAACTTATTTGTAGCTCCTAGAAGCAGCGCTCGCTGTGCTTTCGTGCTCCTGTGTGGACTTGTGTGGGGCAGTGACAAATTGAAGTCACCTGTTGGCATGTTCCCATCTGAGTCTGAACAGGGTGAACCTCTGCCCTCTCCTTCCAGCCCTCAGGCTGCATACAAATGTCTTTTTCGCAGTCTACTTACTGCTTGTTTTTTTTTATTTGGTGGGGGGCATGATTTCACTGTATAAAATGACTCGCAGACACAGTGGTGAAGCACTGTCAAGTGTTCCTGAACGCGAGGAGGCTGTGATGTGCCTCAGGGAGAAAATCCACGTGTTGCTAAGCTTCGTCCAGGCGTGGTAACAGTGCTGTTGGCCATGAGTTCAGCGTTGATGAATCAACAGTATATAGTAAATAAGGTGTCTGCTTATTTGATTGAAGTATAGTTGACTTACAAAATAAGGTGTCTTTAAACAGAAGTATACTCAAAATCAGCTTATGTATTGACAGGGTGACAGAAATGTGACCAGAGGCTCACAGGAACCTAACCCTGTTTCCCCAGGAGCAATGG